GTTTCACCATGTTGACCAGGATGGTCTCGATCTCTTGACCTCGTGATCCACCCGCCTCGGCCTCCCAAAGTGCTGGGATTACAGGCTTGAGCCACCGCGCCCGGCCCGACCAGGCTTTTTATACAAAACCCACCGGCATGTTCCAGAATAATATCCTTACAGATTCAATGCAGATCCCACTAATGGGTTAGCTAGACATCAATAGGGTCATTTTTTTTCTTTTTTTTTCGAGACAGAGTCTCACTCTGTCATCCAGGCTGGAGTGCAACGGCACAATCTTGGCTCACTGCAACCTCTGTCTCCTGGGTTCAAGTGATTCTCCTGCCTCAGACTCCTGAGTAGCTAGGATTACAGGCATTCGCCTACCATGCCCAGCTAATTTTTGTGTTTCTAGTAGAGATGGGGTTTCACCATGTTGGCCAGGCTGGTCTTGAACTCCTGGCTTCAGGTAATCCACCAGCCTAGGCCTCCCAAAGTGCTGGGATTACAGGCGTGAGCCACTGCACCCAGCCCATTTTCTTAATGTAAGTCCACAATATGTCATTAGGGGAAAATGACTTTGACAAACTCATATGCTTCAAAGGCAGGAAGACATGTACTAAGAAGACAGAGCTGGAAAATTCTTGACATAATTACACAGCAAGAGAATAAAAATAGATTTTAAAAGTGTGTGCATGTGGGGAGGTGACAGAATATCTTATGTGTACTTTAAGAAGTTGACGAGTTATTCAGACACAAAAGATAACATTCTCATCAGAATAAGCCAAGATGAAACACCAGGGGCACTCTTCATAGAAACTAAGTGGATGCTTCTGGCGCCAAACGTCTTTGGGCTGGTTCTTCCTGGCCTTTCTGCTTGACTTCTTCCCTCTGTATCATTCTCAAATCCCCAACCTTTCCACTGGCAAAGCCACTCTCTTCTCCCTCAGGCTCTCAATAGATAACGTGAATGTATGCAGACTTTTTGTCCTTCATTTAAAAAACCTGCTTGAGGCTCCAGTGACCTAAGAATTAACTGGTAGTTCTTTATCTTAGCTAGGCTTATGTGTTCAAAATTTTGCCTGTTTTCTTGGAATTATACAAATTTCCTTATTAAATGTTTGATTTGAAGGAAACTGTGAATGTCTGTTAATTATCCATGATAAATATCCATGTGTATTACTTTCTGAACTTTCTCCTTCAGTCTCACCTGAGTTTAATTTTTGCTTAACATGTTTTTTTTTTTTTTTTTTTTTTTTTTTTTTTTTTTTTTTTTTT